AGGCATCAATCACAGCAAAAATCACGGAAATCCCCAAAGAGGAATGTGTCCAAGTAATTGATAAGTTTGCCTCCATCGCCGCGGAGCACATTTGGAGCATATTTCGGAAAGAACGTGACTACTATGCAAAGCGACTAATTTAACCCAAACTTTAGGGATTGATCATACACAAACTGAAGTGTAAATCCACCAAATTTTTTGAAATTAACTAGACCTTTGTAGGATTTATTACAATATTTATAGGCTCCGTTTTTTTTTTTTTTTTTTTTTTTTGGAGGTGGGGTCACCCTGTATGATTCCATCGATAAAAACATTATTTAGTCTGAAGAAGTTTTTTTTTTTAAATAAGAAACGCGTCGTATGAAATTATTTTCATTTTGTCATTCGATTAACTAACATAAATAGATATATAATTGAAAGAGAGAATAAAAAAGAAAAAGAAAGAAATCGAAGAAGGAGAGAGAAAAAGAAAAAGGGGAGAGAGAGTGAGTGAGATAGATAGGTAGATAGATAGATAGATAGATAGATAGAGAGAGAGAGAGAGAGAGAGAGAGAGAGAGAGAGAGAAAGAGAAATTTACAGAAGAATAGACCAAAATTTAAAAATAAACGTTAATCAGAAATATAATACAATTAACTAACATAGATAGAAAAAGAGATAGAAAGAGAGAAAGAAAGAATAAGAGGAAGGAGAAAGAAAGAAAAAGAAGTAGTAGTAGTAGTAGTGGTAGTAGTAGTAGAGAGAGAAAGTTTAGACAGAAATCTAAAGATAAACGTTAACCAGAAATATAATTCAGTTAACTACCATATATATATTATATATATATATATATATATATATATATATGGATAGATAGATAGTTAGAGAGATAGAAAGAAAAGCGTCAAAGGCAGAAATGAAGAAGAAAAAGAAGAAAAAGAAAGAGCAAAAGTAGAAAAAGAAGAATTGAGAGAGAGAGAGAGAGAGAGAGAGAGGGGGAAAGAGGGAGGGAGAGGGAGGGGCGTATAGACATAAATCTAAAAATAAACATAAAACAGAAATATAGGTATAATAAAATAAATGAAAATAAAAATTTTTACGAGAGTTAGACAAAGGAACAGACTTAAATGGTTTTTATCACTGGAATTTATGATTCTAAATAAAGATAAAATCTGCATTGGTTTTAAAAAGGAAAAAATAAAATATAAAGGGAGATAAATTGAAAAAGAAAACTAGAGAAACATGAAAGAAAAATGCAATTGATTGGTTCAGACGCAACAATAATAATACAAAATTATATCTCACAGTGTTCAGGGTCTAGGCGTATATCAAATAGTTTGAAAACCATGACTGAAGATTCAACCAACCATGGTGAGAAGTACTCGAATATATTATTCATCTTAATGCACTTATAAAAATAATATATATATATATATATATATATATATATATATTCGTCCACCGCAAGGAAAGTTGGCTCCCTATGCCGCACCAGGAAATTTTTCTCCCCGGAATCGATCCTTCAGATCTACAAATAAACAATTCGCCCTTGCATGCAGTATTGCTGCCATATATGGTCTGGAGCCCCTTCTGTTTGCCTCGGGGTTCTTGACAGGCTCCAGAGGCGGATATGCAATATAATTGGCCCTGTTCTGGCATCACGTCTACAGTCGCTCTCTCACAGACGCGCCGTCGCCTCTCTCTGTCTTTTTTACAAATACTTTCATGGCAATTGCTCCGAGGAGCTGCATTTGTTGGTTCCCAGACTTCATGAGTTCAAGCGCCCTACGAGGCTGGCATCCCGCTCTCACCCTTTCACTGTCGAAACTACAAAATGTAGCCGTCTCTTCTACTCCAATAGCTTCATATCTCGCACCTCTCGCCTTTCTTATTCCAGTTTCCCTGAGAGCTATAATCTCCAACTATTCAAATGTAATGTCAATCGACATCACTAGTTGCCTCGATCTATCCACTACCCTTCTTCTCGTCCTTTCCTCTATCACTCCTATCTGATCTTGCTCCAAATCTTCTGTAACCCCTTGCGTCCTAGTGGCTTCCCCCTTGCTTGGGGTGAAACGCTTAAATACACACACACACACACACACACACACACACACACACACACACACACACACACATATATATATATATCACCTGATGAGATGCATTGACATGCATCGAAACAAACACACACTATATAATTGACATGTAGAAACACGATTTTGACATTTTGTTTTTCGGTCACACATCACACACACACACACACACACACACACACACACATATATATATATATATATATATATATATATATATATATATATATATATACATTATGAAATGGACAAAGTGCGACGATTATTTTAATATATTTTTATTGTTATACGTTTTTTATGCAGACACAAATATGTAAGTAAATTCTCTGTTTATAATAAACGGTATTAACAACATTTACCGGCCTGAATGTCCGAGAAATTGTTACAGAAAATATGAGTCCTCCGACAGGAATCAAACCTGTATCCTACACGGAACCGTCATATAGCCCGACGTGTTATACCAGTTTAGTTTGTCGTAGTGTGTGACGCCATTTGTTTATGTTTAAATACGCTTGAGCGGATATGAACGTTCGGAGTAAATTATGTAGAATTGTAGTTTAAAAGCAGTAAAATCGACCTTGCTAACCAGACGCTCCTGCTTAGTTAAACTGGTATAGCACGTCTGGTTATATGACGATTCCGTTTAAGATACAGGTTCGTTTTCCTGTCGGAGGACATATTTTCAAGGAAAATTTCTCAGGCATTCAAGAGCGTCTAGTCAAATATGCGCATCAACTAAAATTATGTATTACACCGAAGACATGTCAAAATCGCTACACAATTGCAGTCGTGTTTCGATGCGTATCAATGCATCTCATCAGATGATTTTAAATTACTAGCGAGTGAACGATTTACTTAGATGTTAAAGCAAAATACGACCTCTTTTTACGAAAAAAGAAAAAAGTGGGGGATTATAAGATTTGTGGGTTTTACTCTGATCAGGCAATCAAATATGACTGACGTTCAATTTAAACTAAGTGAAGAAGCAAAAATTAGAAAATTATTTTTTATAAATTATTCATGACCCGTACATTTGATGGCAGCGCAGACGTTAAACAGGAACGGATGTCAATGGATACATATTTTACACACTAGACAATGTCATTTCATAAGAAAAAATGAGATGACATGGTAATTTAACAAAATGCTAAACAAATTATATGCTTTGTGAGTTTTCTACATAATTTTTTTCAGTTGATCAATAAATAGTTTCTTTAAGAAACCAGTAAATAATTTAAACGTACAGAATTACTTGGTAAATTAATATGCAGCTGTTGACTGAAGATTCTTTATTTAAGATGTTAATAAGACTAATCAATCAATGTAAAATGTCAAAAATACCAACCAAATACCAATACATATGTACAAGATGTTACTAATACTACCAGAAGATTAATGCAAAATTATATTAAAACCAAATTAATCTTACAAATCGGAGGATAATCCATATATACAGCAACACAGTTCAACCAAAATCTAAGGAAAAAACATTGTCAAATACCAAGTTAAACAGAATTGTAAGTAAAAGGTAGACTGTGTTTACAATTTACCGTTAACTCTTTGGATATTTGGTTTCATAAAGCATTCTTATCAAAGAACATGATAATTTTCCAATTTTTCATGTAAACACAGAAAGGATCTACATGTCCTTGCCATTTTAAATTTTTTCCATTTCATCTTTTAAAATGATATATTATTTCTATAAGTATTGTTAGTGAAGTACAATACATACTGATATCACCTAGTCTTGAAAAATTCTTAGTACTACCAATATAGAACTTTTCAACTGTCGGATTCTCTATTGTAGAGGTAATACAAAGATAAACAAGGGATTTAGTTGAGCATTTGTTTTGCAATGGGCGTTGGTCAAAATTCCTACAATTAGACTGGCCAGAATCATTAACAATATTTTCCTTGGAACTTGTATCATGATCCAGATTATGAAATTTGTTTAAAATTTTATTATTGTGTAACTTTATGATCTCCTCAAGATTATTGGTACAGCTATAACTTAGTTTTAATGTTCTTCTGTTAAATATTTTACTAAGAAGGTTAATTTTCGAAAAATGTTTATAAATCAATTGCTGAAACTTATTGCCTCACTTAGTACTAATTAACCGCCATTTAATCAATTAGTTGGGCCGGTGAGTATCTCATCCATGATCTGCTAAAAGCATAAATCCAAAGACGTATCGAATAGATTGATTTGTTTTTTACGGCCTATCAACCACTTGTAGGTTATTTAAAGCCAGAAAAAGTTGAATTGCGATAGCGAAAGATAACTTCCAAAAGCTAAGGTAAGTATTAAGAAACAAAAAAATCATTAGAAACAAAGAAAAAGGTACTGAAATATTATGTAGCATCAGGAATCCTATGGCAGTGAATGCTGGACAGATGAAGAAATGACTTGAAACAGCAGAAATATGGTTCTACAGTAGAATGATGAGAATACCATGGACAGAATAAGTGAAGAACGACGAAGTTTTAGAGAAAATGGAAACAAAAAGGACACTTATGCTTAATATCAAAAAGAGACAGAGGAAAGAGTATTTGGAAAATTTGATATCCTCAAGACAGATTGAAGGCAAGAGTAACAGAGGGAAAACGCATAACTTACCTAGAATGCGTGATTAAATGGATGGCGGAACAGGGTTTAGGGGACATAATTAATAACTACCAAGGACAGGAAATGGTGGAGAGCCATGATCGTCAATGTCCTGAAGGGACACAGTACATAGAAGAAAGAAACGTTTGGATATAATAACGATTTACTGATACAAGTCCTACTAATTAACTCATAGCTGGTAAGAGAAAAGGTGGATTCATGCCTTTCCCAAGGGAATTTTAGCCCGTAAGTGAATATAACGAATTCTTTACGATTTTCGATTCTGAGTCGGTATCCATTGGATCTTCCGAAAATCCAAGATTACAGCACCTGGTATTCCAAAGCAGTCAGTCATCTAGGTACTGACCAGGCTCAACGTTGCTTAACTTCGATGATCGAACGAGAATCGATATGTCCGT